GAAAATATCAGCAACTCAAATTCAGTCATACTGAACAAAAATACATCATGACCAAGTGGAGTTTACCCCAGAATACATGTCTGCCTCCGCATCACTGTAGTCTAAAGAAGAAAACATTCGATCACAACAACTGATCTGTCAGGCAAAGTTCAACATCCTTTCATAAAAACTTTTTGAAAACCTGGACTGGAAGGGGAGCTCCTCAAACTGAGAAAGGGCAGTTACAAAAACCTATAGCAAACACCACATTTAATGATGAAAGACTGAATACTTTCCCACTAAAATTAGAACAAGAAAGGATGTCCCAATCAACAATCCTATTCAACATACTAGAGTAACAAAGAAAGAAAAAAGAAACAAAGAACTTAAGAAAATAAATTGGAAAAGAATTTTTAAAAAATCTTAGAACTAAAAATGTATGATTTTAGCAACTGTGTAAGATACAAACACACAAACCAGTTGTTTTCTGAAAAACTGGAAACCAACCCCCTCAAAAACAAATATTTATAATAACTTTAAAACCTCTTGAACTTAAATAAAACGTAACACATGTAGGATTTCTGTGCTGGTAACTACAAAGTGCTAATGAAAGAAACTAAAGCAAACCTAAAAAAAGGTAGAAATATTACGTTTAAAGACTGGGAGACTCAACATGATAGAGATGTCAGTTTTCTACAACCAACCTACTTAACAGATTTAATGCACTTTCCAATCAAAAGCCGGCAGGACCTTTTGCAGAAATTCGTAAGGTAATTTAAAAATTTCTACAGAACCCCAAAGAAACTGGAATAAACAAGGCAATTTTGAAAATAAAGTTGGAGAAATCACACTAACAAATTTTAAGATTTAAAGCTACAGTAGTGAAGACCTTTGTGATGACAGACACAGAACAGAGATCCTGAAGCAAACCCACAGAAACAAAGCCAATGATTTCTGAAAAGGTGCAAATGTAAGTCAAAGAAATGTTGGATTTTGCAAACAAGTGGTGTTGGAAGAACTAGGCATCTATATGCCAGAAAACTAATCTCAACATTAATTTGTACACTGTATACAAAAATTTAAAATGAACCATAGATCTAAATGTAAAATTAAAAAGTGTAACATTTCTGTAAGAAAAAAATAGAAGACAATGTTTATGACCTGGAGTAAGGCGAAGTTTTTTTTAAGACATGATACTGAAATCATAATTAATAAAAAAAATTGATAAACTGGACTTCATCAACATCACAAACTTGCTCAGGAATAAATACTGCTAAGCTGTCTAAAAAGACAAGCTAAAGAGTGGAAAAAATGTTTTCAAATTATAAAGCTGATAAAAGACTTGTATTTAGAATAAAAAAATCTCTCAAAACAATCATAATTGAATTTTTAAAATGCGCAAAAGACCTTAACACTTAACTAAAAAGATATACGGATGGCAAATAAGCACAAAAAAAGATGCTCAACATCATTAGCCATTAAACAAATGCAACTAAAACTGTGACAAGTTCCATTAAAGAAATGCAACTAAAACTGTGACATGAAAATGGCTATTTGCCTATCTCTTCACTGATCCCACCCTGCCTCAATTTTAAGTTGTTAAATCAACTTTTGCTATGTAATACAGCAAGTCACTGTTTTCTCCAAAACTGTCTGACCTATTTTTAGCCTTCTCTCCTACATAACTGAATCCAAACAGCCCTCTAAAAGTGGTTTATATAGCTGGGGATACAGCTCAGTGGCACAAGCACCTGCCTGGCAAGCACAAGGTCCTGAGTTTGATTCCCGGTACCCCCACCCCCAATAAAGCTGTTTACATAAAAATCAATCTGCCGGGTAATAATTTTAATCAATTCAAAGCAGTGGTAGCTTTCTTACATTGTCATCTGGGCACCACAACCAGTGCCCAAATAAAATAAAAGGAGCTGAATGTCAGGGCCAAGCCGGTACCACAAATAGAACTTCTAATCTCCAGTTGAGCATTTTATTTTTGAGCCAAGCGTCATCTCCAGAGCCCTATTTGCTTTCACCTACAGCAAAAGGATCCTGATCTCCCTAGATGGAAAAGCAAAGCAATTTCCCTGACCCTACCCCAGAATGGAACTTCCAAGATATTAAAAAGGATTTCCGTTTCAAGCCAGACTGGAAATAAATGGAAACCTACATGGAGAAAATTTTAAAGGTAACAGTATTTCAAATCTCTTTTTCATATAACTAATAAAAGCCTAGCAACTATTTTTAACAAGGCATCTGTTAATTAAGCAGTGGAGGTTTACTCTTAGGCTTTTAAGAAAATTGTTAACATCTGCTTCACAAAACATTCTGTACGCTGCATAGAAGAACGTTACTACCAAATAAACTACATTTAAAATTTATTTTGTAAGTACAAAGACTTATCTATTTAGGGAAAGGAATTACAACAGCAGGTAACTCAAAATATAATTTTATTAACATTTCAGAAAACCAGTCATGTTTTGAGAAAAGCAGTTTCTATGCATTTGCATGTTCATTTCCTGTATGTGAAAGCAGACACAAACAAGTTTAAAATACTATATATTATAAATTTACTTTGCCATCGTTTTTTGAAAAATGCTTCCCCTCTCTTTTTTTTGGCTAGTAACTGGAGTAGGGAAGTACAGTTTTCCAAACTCTCTCATGTTTCAAATTCTTAAAAACAGAGGTTAGCAAAAATTTATCAATTTATCAGTCTATTTTTACAGTGCCTGTCTTAACTGGTCACAGAATACTGACATAATTTTCTCTAGGGAGGTCCAAATTACAGGAAACGTTTTAAAAATGAGTTTTTATTTCTTCCCCGCACTAGCCCCTACTCTCACCCACTTCGTCAGATTCCTGACAGATGGTTGGGAACATTCTGCTACTGATAAAAAAGAAACCACCACCCACCCAAGACAGCAACTGCCAGCTGTTTACTTTTAGATTTTGGTTAAGAAAATTTTAAAGAAATTCAAATCTCTTGTATCATGTTTCCTTCATCTACAAATTCACTATCCTATAGATAGCTGGACCCACGTAAAAATATTGTAACTACTAATACACCACGGACGTGTTTTTAGTTGTCAACAATCTAGTTTCATTTAAGGGGCTGGGGATTTAGCTCAGCGGCAAAAGCGCCTGCCTGGCAAGTGCAAGGTCGCGAGTTCGGTTCCGGTACCGGAGAAAAACCAAAAAAAAAAAAAAAAAAAAAAAAAAAACTGTATTGTTCAGGCAGGCCCCTCTAATATTAACTAGTAGACAATATTAACTGGCACCTGAAAGTGGAAAAATGAAAGGCATAGTTATGTCTTTCAGAGAAACTTATAAACTGAATAAATCAAAAAAGAACACACATAAATTGCATATAAAAATAAGCATCTTATGCAGGCATACTATTTAAAAGCACTAAAAAAAGCACCGAAAATTTTCACTGTCCCTAAAAATGGTGGAATGACTACATCTGGAGCTTTATGAAGCAGCTTTCTAAAAAAAGATGAACTTCTAAAGTTGCAAGGAACAGAATCTGGAAGGATGCTGGAGGATTTTATCTATTTTTCCTGTAGTGAGGATGGAGAACCCTGGGGTGCTCTACAACTGAGCTCCATCCCCAGGCCTTTTTGTTTTGAGGGTCTGTGTTGCCCAGGTGAGACTGAAACTTGAGATGCTCCTACCTCAGGCTCCCTCAGCGCTGGGATTACAGGCAAGAGCCACATCCAGCTGACATTAGAAGACTTAAAAAAATGTACATGTTCACTTAGAACCGTGGCTAAATAAAAGCTGCATATACATATGTTCACATACTCACGAAACAGCTAATCTAAGTTGCACGGATGCACATACAACAAGCATTGTCTGTAGCCTAAAATGCAGTCATTCGGAGGGACTTTTTTTTTTCTTGCTATTATATATAATCTCAAATACTATAAGTAGTTAGCCGAGTGTGGTGGCGCACACCTGTAATGCCAGCACTCAGGAGGCTGAGGCAGGAGGATCCTTGCAAGTTTGAGGTCAGCTGAGCTCAAGGCCAGCTGGAACTGCGCAGTGAGACCCTGTCTCAAAAAGATAAAATAAAATAAAATAAAAGTAGAGTTAATTACATACGGAGTTAAGAGTGTGGGGTCGCTCATATTCAATACAGATGAGAGGCCTTTAAGCTAATACATGGGGCTCCTTCCGGCTCTACAAGTCTATGGCTTTAAGGGACTAAAAACTGCTATGGTAATTTTTCTACATGTGTAGAGAAACATAAATAACGCTTGCTCTATGGCAAATATTGGACTACCTTTTGTTTCAAATATGAGTAAGACAGTATTCTAGACTCAAGTTAAGCTGGCAGAAGAGACAGATAAATGAGCAAATAATACATCCTAGTAAATACTGCACGACTACCTCAAGCGCTCTGGGCACAGCTGTAATATCACTGTTACTGGCAGGAGTCTCAAAAGATAATGATCTATACAGTGGGTTTTGCTTGACAGATGGTAAAACAGAGAAGGAAATATTTTGGACAGGCGGATACAGCACCTACCAAGCAGAGACTTGTGGGAACGCAGGGCACGTCTGGGGAAACAATAGTCTGGTATGGCCGGATATTACAGTATTTGGGACGAGTTGGAGGCCAGCGCTGACTACGTAGTTAGTTCGAGGCCAACCTGAACTACATAGCAAGACCCTGTCACCCTACCCCCGTGAAAAAAGTACTTGGGAAAGCAACAAGATGATACTAGAAAGGCGAAGACTGTAAGAGGTCCTAAATGATTGATATGCTTAACGATTACACTGCTACGGAAAAAGCTGGAGCGAGATGAAAAGAAGTATTTCAGAACGCACACTGGGGAACGATCGGCGGGGAAACCTGTCTGCGGCGGGGTTAGGGCAATCCCACCAGTTCTGGCGGAGGATGAAACGCGGTACAGTGCGAACGGAAATTCAGGGCCAAGGATTATTTCCTAGGCTCCTAGTGCGGAAAGCAGGTCAGACACTGAAGTCGTTATCAGAGAAGAAAAACAGGAGGAAAAAAATACCTTTCGGAGGGCAGCGTGCAGAAGGACGGACCGGCGCCGCGGCGAACGCTGCACAGGGGCAACGTGAGGCCCGAAGAGGGTCTCTCCCCGCCCACGCCTCGCGGCGAGCTCGCGCGTGGGGGAGGCAGGCAGAAAACACACACGCAAGGCGCGTCCGCAGGATCCGGGAGACGCACCTCGGGTCCGCAGCGCGCCGCTCGCGCCGACCGCGGGAGAGGAGGGCCGGCTGCCGGAGCGCTCGGCAGCGGGCGGCGCGGGCGTCCGCGCTTCTCCCCCTCACTGCGCTCCAGGCAGTGCCTCGCAGCCCTCAGCCGCCTCCGCCAACCGGGACCTGTGCACCCAACGGAAGAGATTCCGCGTCCTCCTTCCACCCGCCAACGGGGCGGCCGCGGAGCCGGCGGGGCTCTGCCCCAGGCCCAGCCCGGGGGGAAACCTCCGCGGACCGACGCGCGCTCCCGAACCGCCCCAGCCTCGCGAGACTTCCTCTCGCTAAGGGGAGGGGCCCTCCGTTGTCCCTCCCTGTGTATCTAGTCTCAGGCTTTCCCTCGGCCTCTCGCGAAGTCTCGCGTGTTTTTCCAGGGGAACCCGGCCTAGCTGGAGAGGCCGAGAAAGGGAGGCCGGTGGGTGGGCCTAACGCCAGGGTTGGGGGCAGGTTTTTGGCCGGTTCCGCCGGTGCTGCGTGGGTGACACTCGGTTTTCGGGGAGACGCTCAAGTCGCCCGGATCGTTCTTCCCAATGGGTGACGGGGAAAACTAGCGAGTAGAAAATCTCGAGTGGTGGAGGAATTTTTTTTTCCCTCCTTGGCTCCGCCCTCTTCCTGTTCGGCGACTGGTGCGGCGGCCGTTCGAGGGAGAAGGGACGCTCGGCGGCCCTGCCGAAGAGAGCTCTGCGCACGCGCGAGCCCGGGTGCGCGAGTCAGTGTCTGCGCGCGCGCGCGCGCACGCGCTCCTGCGTTTAGGAAGCCTGGGAAGGACCGGTGTGCGGGGCGATGAGTGGGGAACGCTTGGTCCCCAGTCTTTGGCACCAGACGCGCCTGACTGTGCGCTGACCGTCCCCACGCACCCAGGCGGCAGCCTTGGCCAGGGAGGCTGTGCTTCACAGCCTCTTCGTTTTCACTGCAGGACCAGGCACGAAAGTAAGCGAGCCTCGATCTTGAGGTCTTCCCTCTCCACTCACCTTGTACTTTCCACCCCCATCCTCCAGCAAAGTGTGTCTAGAAGGTTTCTGAGAGAGTTTTTTCTTGAAGGAGCGATGCGTTTCAGAGCGGAAGAAAATAGCGGGATCATGGACAGACAGTTCGTGTTTGATGAGCACTTGTTCTGCTTACCATGTGCTTTTCGAATGTGCATTTGTCTATTTAGGATGAGGTTTTTATTAGCGAAGCAGGGGGGTACCGAATGCTCTGTTTTTACAAGAAAAAGTTTTAAAAGTTTTTCCTCCTCCCCAGCGTGAAGGTAGTGACTAAGTTTTTCTGTTCCACATGGTAAATTATGGGGTGTTTCAAAAGCTCAGGGGGGGTGAGTTTGAGGTTCTTATCCTAATGCTCAGACCCTCTATGCAGTGGTGGTAGAGATGTTGATTTGGCTTTTGCTTTTGCTGTCCCTCTTTCCTGTTAAATTTCCTTCACCTCATCCCAGCTGTATTCTTCAGAAGTCTTGAAACGTTTTCTTCCCTTTTTTATTTTATGGTTTTTTTGAGGCGGCGCGGGGAGGAGTCCCAAAGTGCTGGCTTGGGGGTTTATGTGTAATTGATGTCAGTTAGCAAGGATCATCAAAAATGTATTTAAAGAATATATGGCATTTATTATGTTTGGTATGTGTAAAGGAATCAAGTACAATTATATGTAAAAATGGTGCCTTTTTGACAATTTTAAGTTCTTTCAAAAAGCCAAAAAAAAGCTGTAATTTTGCATGTGCCTGGTAAAGTATGGTGTAGCTCATGCCTTGACACAGCTGCTTTCTGAACATAAACCCATATGTTGGGCATATTGTTTCTTTGAAGGTGTTCATGTTCCCTCCCAATTCAAGAGGAAAAGACACATTCATTAGAAATAATTTAAGACAGTGAATGTTATGTATCAGCATTTGACTAGTGTGTTTTTCTTCATATAGATTAAAACACAATGAAGATTTTTTCTGAATCGCATAAAACGGTGTTTGTTGTGGATCACTGCCCTTACATGGCAGAATCGTGCAGACAACACGTTGAGTTTGATATGCTGGTGAAGAATAGGACCCAAGGCATCATCCCTTTGGCCCCTATTTCTAAATCATTGTGGACTTGTTCAGTAGAGTCTTCCATGGAATACTGTAGAATAATGTATGATATATTCCCTTTCAAGAAACTGGTGAGTATGGATTAAAAAGAAAATTAGGATGTTTGGGGGTGTACTTAACTTCATGCGTAATTTTCATTTGAATTTTGTGTAAATTTGGTTTAGAGCTGGGCATGGTGGCACACGCATGTAAACCCAGCAGTCTAGGAGGCTGAAGCAGGAGACTGCAAGTTTGAACCCAGCCTGAGCAACCTAGCAAGACACCATGTCAAACTAAAAAATGAATAAAAAGGGTTAGGGATGTGGCTCAGTGCAGAAGCTCTGGCTTCAATCCCCAGTGTTGGAAAAAAAAAAAATTGGCTAGAAATCTTTGTTTACTTAAAAATGTACATAGAACTGCCCTTTGGTTCCTTTGGTGTAGTGTTTGTTAGTTTCTTTTGTTTTTTGTTTTGAGACGGGGTCTCTATATTCCAGGTTGGCCTTGAACTCACTGTGTAGTTAAGGGTAGCCTTGAACTCTCAGCAGTCCTCCTGCAGTAGCCTCCCAAGTGACCAAGCTGGGATTACAGGTGTTCACGACCTCGCCCATTTTAGAATTGCCCTTTGGCATTAATATGTTACAAGTATTTAATTTGGGGCAGTATTAATTGTTTGCCATTTACATGTGCAAAGCATGTTCCAAAGTGCTTTATATTAGTAGCCTTTTTAATTCTTAAAACAGTCCTATGAAATAGGTACTGTAGGTTTTGGGGCAACACTCAAAGGTATGGAACAAACAGTAGCACTGAGAATTGTTGGCAGTCCAAGCAGAAGAAATGTTGGTTGTAAAGCAGTTTGTTGACTTGTAGCAGTGTGTGCTAGCTGAACATTAGTCTTGGTTATTACCACCATGTGGTTGATGCAGAAACTGGGGGGAAGAAGAGAAACCTAACTCAAGTTACGTAGTAAGGGCTGGGGTGTAACTCAGCAGTGGAGCCCATGCTTAGTGTGCGCAAGAGGCTTGAGTTCAATCCCCAGCACCAAAAAAATGAAGAAAAAAAAAAGCTAAGCGAGAGCTGTTTTTTGTCAATAAGAGAAATTGATGATTGGCAGAAATTTCAGGTGTTAAAGTTATCTTTAGATTTCAGTATCTCAGATGATTTGTTTCGGGAAAGTCATTTGTTTAGCTCCCAGTGGATGACATGCGTCCTATTTGCCTTGCCCAGTCTTAGGTGGGAAAGTAAGAGCAGAGGTGAACATGGGAGTCCAGTGTTACATATTAAGCTACATTCCAAATTAAGTATAAGTACCTTTGGAAATTCTTGTTTTGTGAAAAAGTGTAGGGTGAGGGAAGGCTAATAATGAGATTTAAGGCACAGGTTTCATTTCAGATCCTGGCATCTAAGCCAGGCATGGTGGCACACAGCTGTAATCCCAGCGCTCAGGTTGATTGCTGTGAGTTTGAGGCCATTCTGGGCTGTGTAAGTGAGTTCAAGGTCAGCCTGCACGGCATAGTGACCCTGTCAAAAACAAAAAAAAAGAATCCTCTAAATCATCTAACAGTTTAATGAAAATGCAAAATCCCAGGCACTCTCTACAGATCCTGGCATCTTTAGCTGCCAGCAATGTGACTTCAATTGTATTTGTTATCTTTTTTTTTTCCTGAAGCTGATAGTTCAGGCTGGCCTTCAACTGACTATGTAGTTCAGGCTAACATGGGACTCCCAGTGATCCTCCTGTGTCAGCCTCCCAAGTGCTGGGATTACAGCAGCCTTGCACCACCATGCTCGGCCGATTGTATTTCATTTTTCCAGGCCTCATTATCTTTCCTTGTAAGTATACAATTACTTCCTTATTGTAAGGTTTAAATGAGATAATCTAAACAAAGCAGCTAGTAAAGTATATCCCTGTTAGGTAAGCCAAAATAGACAAGACCAGTTATCAAACTTTTTTCTTTGAGGAAAGAAAACTAGTATTTCATGGGTATTAGGAAAAATGATCCTGAATTAGATTATATTGTTCAAGGGAAAGAAAGAAATTTACTCCTCTCCCCAAAAAGGAACATAGTCATCTTCATCATTTGATATATTTTCTAATATGTTCCTTACTGTCATTACCATCTAATTGGTGTTGTTTTATTTATTTACTTTTTGTGGTGCTGGGGATCAAACCCAGAGCCTCACACATTAGGTAAGCACTGTACCAGTTACTTCCCAACCCTGATAGTATTTTTTTATTTGGACTTTACTTTAAAAGTTAGAATTCAGGGGCTGGGGATTTAGCTCAGCGGCAAAGCGCCTGCCTGGCAAGCACAAGGTCGTGAGTTTGGTTCCCGGTACTGGAGAAAAACAATAAATAAATAAATAAATAAAAGTTAGAATACAGTCCATATCCATTATTTGGTTTTCAGTGTTCTGTACGACTTTCAGCGCTCCTTGAGTTTAACTCCGACCTCTGCTTACTCTGATTTTTACCCTCCTGAGGGAATATACTTTGAGCTCATTGCATTTCCTTTTGGAGTTCTCTGTCCTGGCTTTTTTAGTGCTGGTTTCCTTTGGTCACTTCAATTCCTTAGTGCATCTTTTCTAGAGAAAACCATCTCTGACTGCTCAATCTAAAACTCACTTATGGTTCGTAGCATTTATCACTCTCTAAAAGGATCCTATTCATTTATTGGTCTTCTTCCTACACTGAACTCCAGTTTTATCACACTCGTACCCCAGACTTCGTGCACCTTGTGACAGAACTGTTTTATTCATCACTGCATTCCCATAACCCCAGGGCCATTCTTAGAACAGCACCTGTCATGTATTAGGCATTCCGTAGCTGTGAAATGAGTGCATCAAACAGCAAACCTGTGTTAGAAATTGCATATTGTTGTAAAATATCATGGTGACTAAATAAAATTAGAGTTGAATACTAATTGTCCCTTTGACATTTACTAGGTGAATTTCATTGTGAGTGACTCTGGAGCACATGTTTTAAATTCTTGGACTCAAGAAGACCAGAATTTACAGGAGGTATGGTTAGTTTTTAAGCAGTAGCTATTTTTGAAATTTTTCTAAATGTCATATACTTCTGAAAAATGATTTAGAATGTTTTTATCCGATAGTATTTGGACATGATTTTTAAAATCCCATTACATTAAGAAAAACAGCTGTTTTCATTGTAGTCTCCCCTTTGTTCCCAAGTAAACTCGCAACTCTAGCTGTTCTAGTATTTACTTCACTATGAAATACAATTTCCAAACGTTTTTATTCCTGTTTATTGACTTCTCAATTTAAACTTTATCATTATTGTTCGTGAGGACTTACCTCTTTTAAATTTCTCCCTCATCTATGCCTTCCTCTTGTTTTCTCAAAATTGTTTTATCAGCTTTTGGTTCATTCAGAATTCCATATATGCATAAAATGTCCATATAGAGTGTTATTGACTATGGTGCCACATAGTATAAGTGATTATTTCTTTGCTCAAATTTTTATTTGTTCCTGAAATTTGTCATTTCCTTTTTCAGCAGCATGGGCTTAGTTTTCTGAATATTAGTGCTTTTCCTTGTGTGTCTGTAGAAGGTCTCAGTATTTTGATCACAACGGTGTTAGATAATTTAGCAATGAGAACAACTTTTTGGAGCACAATCAGAACGGATTACTTTCTAGGCCTACTGACCACAGTCATCCCTCTCTGTTTTTCAGGTCTTCTTCTTTTTGATATTTTGAGTATAGAAGTTCTAGCTTGCAAATAACTTTCTCTATGTGAGGGATCACTCCGTGGTGTTCCACAGTCCAGTGGTACTGTTGAGAAGTCCAGTATCAATCTTCCTCATAATTTCTGAAAGCTTTCAGAATCTTTTCTTTGCCCCTTTATGTTCTGAGAGTTTTCAGTGATAAATTTTAGTGGACCTTTTCTCATTTAGTGTGCAGGAAAATTTTGTTAAAATTTTTCATGGTGTGTCTGTGATAATGATCTTATCTCTATCTTTCTAGAATATCTATTAGTGGTATGTTGGACTTTCTAGATAAAGTTTAATCTTATCATTGAGCATCTTTTGTTATTCTAGTTTTTAAACTTTTTAACCCTTACATGGAAATTTTACTTGATTATATTTTTAATTTGCAAGATCTTGAACTTATTCTCTAATTATATCATTATTGTCATATCCTTTTTTTGTTTCATGGGTAGAATTTTTTTTACCCGAGGACATTAATTATGGTGTATTTGAAGTTTTCTTTTGAAGCTTCTGTTCTTGAGATTCTTTTCATGTTGAGGCTTTTTAAAAAATGCCTGCTGACATTTGGCTATGCAGTCTTATTTAAAAGCAAGGCACTAAATATCAGATTAGAAAATCTGTATGTCGTGGAGTAGGCATTGCTGGTTGGGTTTCCCTGGCTTTAACCGCTTATTTTCATTGAGGAACCTCCAGATGTCAGAGTGAACAGATCATCCCTGTGGGACTTTTCAGGGTCTCCAGAGAAGGTCTTCCACTCTTCTGTGTAAACTTGGCTATTAACCTTTTGGGAGGGAAAGGGAAAGGTAGGTTCTACCTTTCAGTAGGCAGATTTTCAGATTGTATTTGATCTTTTTTTTGGTTTCATACTTTGCTGTTTTATTATAGTAGCGACTAGCTGCATTTGAGTATTTTTTTTTTTGTTTTGTTTTTTTTCCGGTACCAGGAACCGAACTCACGACCTTGCGCTTGCCAGGCAGGCGCTTTGCCGCTGAGCTAAATCCCCAGCCCCTGCATTTGAGTATTTACATTTAAAAATTAAATACAATTAAAAATTTACTTCCTTTATAGCACTAGCCATGTTTCACATGTTCAACAAGCCACACGTAGGTAGTGCTTTTTGTATTGGATAGGATAGAGGACATTTCCGTTGTCACAGGAAGTTCTGTTGGGCAGTGTTAGCCTGGTATCTTAACCTTACTCTCTGCTGTGCTTTGTAATGCCATGCCTGGTACCTTTCTGGTTCAAGTAATGTGATTCTGTGTCTGGCAGTCAGCAAGAGGTGATCCCTTGGATGGGTTTAGCGGGTAGGAGCCTCAGTGAAGTCGTACCTTACTTTGACTCCAAGCTGTTTGTAGTTGTCTGCATCTTGCTCCACCCGTTTTGTGTACTACTTGGTGCTTCCAATCCTCAGACTTACCTTAGATTCCCTGCAGTAGATCTTGTTGCCTTTTTGTTTTTTTGGTTTTTTTGCGGGGAGCGGTTATTCCTCCGTAGGCAGTTAGACTTTGGCGTGTTTGGTCCTATTAAGTTCATTACCATTTCTTCATTAATTTTATAATTCTTGTTGACATCTCTCTCATCTCTTAATTTACTGTTGTCACCCCTCCCATTTTTTTCATCTGTGGATTTTTGCTTTTTAAAATGACTATGGTCTTAGTGAAAGGAGCAGAAGTAAACTCAAGCTCAGTGTATTAATTGAGTCTCAAGCTCAGTTTATTTTGTTACTATCATTTAAGAACATTGATCTCCTGATGGCTTATATTTGCTGTTGTTTATTGGAGAGAAGACTTCAGTCTACACTGATGAATATGAACAACATGAAAGATGGGCATCAGTGAAATTTTTAAACACTATTTCAATTATTTCCTGTACAGACACACAGCTAATAAAAGGCACAGCTAGGACTTCAGTCCGTATGTTTCTAACTCCAAGAGTTAATCTTTCTGTTGCTTTCTCTAGAACCACAGTACTCCCTCTCCAAAACAATTTTCATTGGGCTTCTGTTATAGGGACTTTACATAGTCCTTTATAAACAGTACTTTCTTTGTCATTTTTTCTGGATCAGCAATACCCAGCTAGTTTAACAATACATTTTTTGAGCCAGACATAGAGGCGCACACCTGTAATCCCATCACTCTAGAGGCTGAGGCAGGAGGATCATTGTGAGTTCAAGACCAGCCTGGGCTACAGAGTGCGCTCAAACCAGCCTGAACTGCATAGCAAGACCCTGCCTCAAAAAGGTTAAAAAAAAAAAATACATTCTTTGAGAAGCCATACACATATGCAAGTATATACGCACAAGGTACACCTTGAAATATTTCCTGCTTCTCATCCTCTGGCCCGTGTAGTGGTGTGTTAGAGCCTGCTCATACCAGTTTGAGACTTGAATCTGCACCACTTAATCAGCTTCACGTTAGTGCTACGGCATTAATAGTGAAAAGCGGGCCACGATGGGAGTCCTAGAACTTGGCAAACACTGCACTTAAATTTTTTCAGAAACTTTATTGCTTTTTAACTGATACATGAAAATTGTAGATATTAGTGGAATACCATATGATGTTTCAACACATGTATACATCCCATGATGTTTAATTCAGATTAAACATACATATTTATTCCTTTTTTTATGATGAAAAATATTCCAAAGCCTTTTGTTCTAGCTTTTTAAATATATATACATATATATACACACATGTCAATGTATCTATCTACATATATATATATATACACGTAAATAATATTATCATCACGTATAATCATTCTACTGAGTGGTAGAGTACCAGAACTTCTTGCTCCTATCTAGCTGTAACTTGGTACTCATTAATCAGGCTAATGCAGGCACATAGGCTCTGCCTTCAGACATAGGCCTGTATTAGGAGCCGTCTGACTCTGGCTGGTGCTGGATTTTACCATGGCAGGCCTGTTAAGTCTGAGGCCAGTACTGAATTTTCTCTCCTTTTCTCAAGTGGAAAGAATCTTTCCTGCAAGGTATACTACTTGAGGTTAGTAGGAGGGTGACGCGGACAGCTGTTTTCTGCCTGACTTCTTCAGTGCAGCTTATATTTATGCTAAATCCAGCTACAGTGAATGGTTGGTCACCTGGTTGCCATGGTTCTTGCACTCAAATTGATGTTTCTGTTGGGATACACGTAATTGGAGGGCTCCACAATCTTCTTGTTCTGCCTTTTGATGTTTTTGTTTGTTTGAGGGAAAATGTATCATATGTTTTTGGAAGTCATTTAATATGAATAAGATGATTGGTAGGCTAGGAATATATTGCTTATTATGTCTTATGTTGACATTTTATAAATCGTTTGAGCATTTCATTTTAAGGTATTCTGCTGTAATACTGGATCCCATGGGTATGCAGAGTATCAGATAAATTTTTAGACTTTATGTTAATGTAGTATATTCCATGAGAACTTTGTGTGTCCTTTTTCATTCCTGAGAATATGTGGGATTGGAGAATAGTAGACAAAAATAACATGAGATTATAGTGGTTTGTTTAGTTGTTGTTTGAGACAGGGTTTCACTGTGTAGCTTAGGCTGGCTTTGAACTCAAAATCCTCCTGTCTCAGTCTCCCAGGTGCTGGGATTATAGTATTTTAAAGTTCGTGAAGTCTTCTCTCTCCTTTCCTCTCTTTCTATCTGTCTGTCTGTCTGTCTGTCTCATTCTTTCATCCCTCAGCCCCAGTAGAATCTCACTTTGGTGCCTAGGCTGGTTGTGAACTCTTTGATTCAAGTTCTTCTGCCCAACCTCACAAGAAGCTGGGGTGACAGACCGAAGCCCCTGTGACTTGTACACACTCTTTTTTCTTTTTTTTGTAAACAGCTTTACTGAATATAATGGACGTTCCATGCAATTTAGCAATTTTTAATGTATTCACAGATAGGTGCCATAGTTACCACACCCTATTTTTAAATAAAGTCTCATCTTAAGAAAGTTTCTATAACATATAACATATATTCCCAAACTCTTCAGATGCAAGTGATCACTGACCTTTCTGTGTAGATTTTCTCTGTTTGGGTCACTCCGTCTGAATGGAAGTCATACAGTACGGGGTCTTTGGTGACTGATTTCTTTGACTTGGCATTCACAATGATTTCACTGTTGAGCTATGTTCTTTTTATGGCTGAAAAACACTACACTGTGTATTACTGTGTATCACATTTCATCTTTCTGTCCACTGATTTGAATTGTTTCCTCCTTTTGCCTGTTATGAATAATGTAGCTGTAAACATAGGTATACACAAGTATTTGTGCCAGAATTATGCCTCATTTCTTTTGGGTATATACTTAGTGGAATTGCTTGCTATTATAGTAACCTGTATTTAATATTTGAGGAGCTACCAAATTATTTGCTGATGTGGTGTATCACTTTATATGCCTACTAGCAGTCAGTGAAGATTTGTATCTCTCTATATCCTTACGAATACTTGCTATCCAATTTTTAAGCTTTTAGACAGTCTAGTAAATAATAGTGGCTAAGGATGTTGAGCATCTCTTCATTTGTTCATTGACTGTTTGTGTATCTTCATTGGGAAAATATCTGCTCACATCCTTTACCCATTTTTTTAGTCGGTTTGTCTTTTTATTATTGAGATGGATAAGCTCTTTATACATTGTGGATAACAAGTCCCTGATTAAATCTCTGATTTCCATATATTCGCCATTCAGGCTGGCCTTGAGCTCACTTTGTAGCCCAGGCTGGTCTTGAACTTGCAATGATCCTCCTGCCTCAGCCTCCTGAGTGCTAGGGTTACAGGCGTGTGCCACCACGCCCAGTTTATATTTTTATTTTCTTGAAAGCACAAAAGTTTTTCATTTTGATCAAGTCCAAATTACTTTATTTTGTTGTTCATTTTTTTGGGGTCATAGCTGAGAATCTTGTCAAGTCCAAAATGATAAAGATTTAGCAATTTCTTCTTTCAGTTTTATAGCTTTAGTTCTTGAACTTAGTTTGATCCACTTTTAACTTGTGTGTAAAATTTGAGGCTAAGAGTTTAGCTTTATTCTTTTGCATTTGGCTATTTAGTTGTCCCCTCATCATAATTTTGTTAAAAACAAAACTATTCTTTGCCATTGAATGATCTTGGTATGCTTGTTGAAAATCAGTTGACCATAAATGACTTCTAAACTGTTAATTCTATTCCACTCGTCTCTATGTCTGTCCTTGTGGTAGTCTCACACCTTGATTACCACTGCTTTGTAGTAAGTGTGTAAGTCAGATAATGTGATTCTTCCTACTTTGTTCTTTTTTGAAATTATTTTGGCCATTCTGGGTCCCGTGTGGTCCCATGTAGACCCTTACTAACTGATCAGCAGAATCAGCTTTGTAGAAATCGAAGTCAGCTGAGATTCTGATGGGAACTGTGTTGAATCTATAGTTTGAGTGATACTACTATCTTAACAATATTAATTCTTTTCACCTATTACCATGGGAAATTTTTCTGTTTATTTAGATCTTTAATTTCTTTCAACAGTGTTTTGTAGTTTCCAGAATATGCTCTATGTTTCCTTTGCTAAAGTTATTCCTAAGTATTTTATTCTTCTGGGGGCTATTGCGAATGGAATTGTTTTCTTATTATTTTAGTGTGGTTCATCTGTAACCTTGCTGAACTGGTTTATTAGTTCTAATAGTTCTTGGTGGATTCTTCTTTAAATAAAATCATATTTAAAATAAATCATTTTATTTTTAAATAAAATCATATTTAAAAAAACAAACAAGATATTGTCTGCAACATATGGAGCTTTGCTTCCTTTTTGATAATCTGGGTTCTTTTAATTTTCTTTCATAACTGTTCTGGCTAGAACCTACAGTGCAGTGTTGAATAAAGTGGTAAGAGTGGACATGGAGATGATTGATTTTTTTTTTTTTATTCTTTTGATATGTCTTATATTAATTTTGGGACGTGAAATCAACTTTGTATTACTGAGTCAAATCCCGTTTGGTCTTGGTATATAATTCCATTGAGTATAATGGGGTGTTGCTAAGTTTGGTTTGCCAGCACATTTTCTTCAGGTTGTTTGTACCTACTGTTAAGGAGAACACATGTAGTCTCTCACCATTAACTATGATACTATCTGTAGGTCTTTTATAGGTGCCCTTTATCAGTCTGCTCAAGGAAATCCCCTTCTATTGGTAGCTTATTTGGTTCTTTTTATGTATTTGTTATTTTAATTTTTGGTCACAAAGGGTTTTAGGGTTTTTTGTTTTCATTCTTTTGAGATAGGGTCTACCTCTGTTGCCCAGGCTGGGCTCAAACTTTCAGCTCCCCTGCCTCAGTCTGCCAGAGTGCTGGGATTACAAACATGCACCACCACCACACCCAGCTAATGTTAGATTTTGTTAAATGCTATTTTTTTTTATTTATGGAGATGATTGTGTGATTTCTATTCTTTATTCCTTTGATATGATGTCTTAATTGATTTTGGGGTATGAAATCAACTTTGTGTTCCTGAGGCAAATCCCATTTGGTCATGGCATATAATTCCATTGTGTATAGTTGTGTATTGCAGTTTGGTTTGCCAGCATTTTCTTCAGGTTGTTTCTGCCTGTATTCTTAAAATATACTGGTTTATAGTTTTCTTGTTATGTTTTCATCTAAGGTGTGAATGCTTTTGTCACCATCACTGTCTTTCCTTCGCTTAGCTCATGGCAGCGTTAGCTGCTGTCGGGCCTCCTAACCCTCGCGCAGATCCAGAGTGCTGTAGTATTCTGCATGGTCTTGTTGCAGCAGTGGAAACCCTTTGCAAAATCACTGAATACCAGCATGAAGCCCGTACTTTGCTCATGGAGAATGCAGAACGTGTTGGAAACAGAGGGAGAATAATTTGCATTACTAATGCAAAAAGGTGAGATAGTAATCATAATTATTTTTCACTAATGAAATTTAAAATTCCTGTTGCGATTTTTATTTTACAAAGAAGGATGGCATTAAGCATTTCAGCATTTTACAAGTGGCCTTTCTGGGGTTTTTTTACCCTTTAATATTGAAACTGTTTAATCAATCATTTCTGAAGAATTATCTCGGTGAAAACTGTTTAAGATTGCCATCATGTAAATCAGCTTGACTATTTTTTTCTATCCAGTTTTTCAGCTAGTGATTTGGTATTGTGAATGAGCACACTAGAGACAATCCTTATTAAAGTAATTTTAAATTTTGAAAGATAGCACAATTGGGCTGGGGGGATATAGCTCAGTGGCACAAGTGCTTGCCTGGCAAGTACAAGGTCCTGAGTTCGATTCCCAGTACTGAAAAAAACCAAAAAATAGAGATAGCCCAACTGAATAGTGTCTAATTTTTTTCCTTGCTATTTATCCCTTTAAGTTTGCTATGTCTTTTTTATATCATAGTGATAGTCATGTACGCATGCTTGAAGACTGTGTCCAGGAAACAATTCATGAACATAACAAGCTTGCTGCAAATTCAGATCAGTGAGTATAATCCATAAATGAAGTAAATGTCTTCAACTTCATATTACATGTGTTTATTAGAATTGTTTCAATTTTAATGTGATTATATACTTCCTTGAACTTTCTACTGACTCAACAAATACGCCTCAAAGTATAAATTTGAGCCAGGCATGGTGGCGCATGCCTCTAATCCCAGTACCCAGGAGGCTGAGGTAAGAGGATCGCTGCGATTTCAGGGCCAGCCTGGGCTACATAGTGACTCCAAGGCCAGCCTGAACTACATAGCAAGATCCTGTCTCAGAAAACAAAACAACAAAAAAGTAAGTTTGACTGGAAGC